GTACTTGGACTTTTCTTAGCTACAGGTTTTGGTTTCCAGTCTTTCTGTCATGGAGCCCACACTCAGAGTTCACATCCTTAATATTAAACTGCAGGTACTAATCATAGATATGTGGATCTGTTCTCTTTCACTGGGCAAAATTCCTGCAGTGGTCTCTAGCTCATGTCCATTCTCTACCTATATCCAGAAATTACATGGGACAGTATTTGTAAACTGTGGCTAAAAGTTATGGAAAGAAACAATTTAAAAATTTAATACAACAGATAAAAAGAGTATTCATGCCTTCAAAGGGCTCCATTTAATCTTGTAGGTTAGAGGTAGCCTGAGGCATGGGCTCTGCACTGGCAGCAGAAATCCAAAATCCCCATCTTCATGAATTTAGTAAGTGCTTGTTGAAGGTTCTTGTTTATGGCATTTGTTTTTGCAAAGTAAAATTATTTTGGTTTTGTTTTTTCTTTTAAAGAATCTTTTAAAGAAATTGAAGGGCAAGAATACCAATAAAGTATTCTGAAATACTTCTATTTCTTCTATATTCTTCTAATATTTCTAAAGGTATGAATGCTCTTTAGGTATCATTGCTTGCACTTACAAAGCCTGTTTTAAGTCTGCTGCTGACTTCAGGACCAGATTGTCAGATTATTTTGCCAGTAATCTGGGAGCAAAGCATAAGGACTAGCAGATACTGCCTCTCCAAAGGTAGGATGTTCATGTCTGGAGGAGGTAGGTTGTCAGTGTAGGAAATGGTGATAGGAGAAATGTAGATCATGCTTTGTTGAGTTGTCTTTTCTGACAATTTTATGTCGCCACTCAATACAATGAGTGCCCATCTAAAATGATAATCATGCTCTTTTTTAAATTATTTTTATATTTTGTCATTAATCACCAGGTATTTTCAGTATGATTACAAATAAAAATACTGTGCTCAAAATCAGATCTATTCTGCTGATGACACACAACCTTGAATGAAATCTAAATCTCATTCTTTGACTAAGCTCTGCCATGATAACAGGAAAGTATAGAACTAAAAATGGATTCTTTTGATAAAGAGTGTAATTTCATTTGATTCTGAAAGCACTGCATTACAATGTGTTGTTTTCTGCATATTCACTTTTACACTGGTAGTGTTTCCATAGTATTTTGAATTTCAATGGTGAATTTATCTTGGTATTTTTATCTAAGTGAACATTTCTAGTATACAAGCTGAGAAAATAATGCCCCTGGGCTGCTCCATTCCCACAAAGGAAAGGTACCTGTGAAGCTCTCTCTTCTCTAGGCTGAATAACCCCAGCTCTCTCAGCCTGTCTTCATAGAGGAGGTGCTCCATCCCTCTTTTTATCTCGATGGCCCTCCCCTAGACTTGTTTAAAAAGGCCCACATCCTTATGCTGGGAGCCCCAGAGCTGGACACAGTACTTTGAGAGCAGAGCAGAGAGGCAGAATCCCCTCCCTTGCTCTGCTGGCCACACTGCTTTTGATGAAGCCCAGTTTACAGTTGGCTTTCTGGGCTGCAAGCACACATTACCAGGTCACATCAAGCTTCTCATCTTCACTCCCTAACCCTGTTCTTAATCTATTCTCTGCCCAGCCAGTGTTAGTGCTTGGGATTGCCCAGACTCAGGTTCAGGACCTTCAACTTGGCCTTGCTGAACTTCATAGTGTTCCCACTGGTCAACTTCTCATGCCTATTAAGGTCTCTCTAGAAGGCAACCCTTGCCTCCAGTGTCCACACAGCTTGGTGTTGTTGGCAAACGTGATGAGGGCACACTCAATGCCAGTGTCTGTGTTGCCAAGAAAGATGTTAAACTGCACCAGTCCCAATACTGATCCCCAAGGAATGCCACTCGTCATTGGTCTTCACTAGAAAATCTACCTATTTAATAAATTTTTGAGTGTGACCATGAGCCATAGCTTTATCCATCAGGTGCCAATTCATCAAATCCATGCCTCTCCAGAAGAAATGTGAATGTCTGTGTCCCTTGTAAAAGAAGTTGTCTGGTACATATTCATGTGCAAGTGTAGTAGCTAATTTGACAGCTTAAGGAGTGATATGTTTCTGCATTCCTTGGGGTGGAATCATTAGCACAGGTAAATCTCTGTGCTGCTGACAGCAAATTTATTTGACACAGAGTTTATGATCTAGTAGATGTAAATGTCTGCTGTGAAACCAATGATGGATAAAGGAGGCGAACAGCTTATCTCACAAGATTTCCAGTTGGGATAGAAATAATCTATCTTGCGAAATGTTGACAAGTTCACTTCTAATCTTAGTTAGAAAATTGAGGCTGGAAGAGATAGTGCTGAAAAAATAATGGGGTGAAAATCTTTTCTAACTTTTCAAAGCATTTCCTACATCCATTCTTAACTTGCTACAAAGTGCTTTGGGAGTTGCAGAGCTATTCAATCACTTTCATATTAACAGAAAAGCCCCATGTGCACAGCATTTCTAAGAACTATTTCCTGTGCTAAAGAGAATTTTGGGCTATTACTATCACTATAAAGTAGTTCACTGTTTAGAGATTTATTTAAGTGTGAGGGAATCTTAACTGATTCTGAACAGCTTTGCCACTGTGCCTCTTACAGTGTCACCTTTCTGACATTTTTGATTGAAATAAAGAGAACACATAACTAAGAGCCTTTAGCTTCTATACTACTCAACTTTTTTAAAAGTGGGTTTTGTAGAGCTGCAAATGTAGGTCTATAAGAACAGTCATCAAGATAGTATTGATCTGTCCCAGGAGGATATGAAAAAAGTTTTTAAAACCTGTAAATAAGGGTATAAGGAGAAGAATGTTTAAGATATACCTCTGAAACAGTAGCAGATGAGAGATGAAAAATATGTGAAGATTATGGTATTATGAGATATTTCCCAAGAGCAGATTATAATTCTAATATTTTTTTCCTTAAATTCTGTCCAACTTGTAGTAGGAGATGGTGAAAGCCAGCACAGTCAATGACCTTAAACTGACATATAAAAATAGTATGAAAAGGTCTAATTATTGCAAAGGTCACAGGATAAAAATTTTGTTCCAATTCTGTTGTTTCCAGGAGCCAATGGAAATGCAACAGAGCTATCAAAATTCCTCAGTGGCTTGTTGAATCAACAAAAGAAATGCCAAATTCTTGGCATTTCTTTTGTTGATTCAACATATTAGAATTTATATATCTTGCAATAAGGGCATCATAGCTGAACTTACAAAAAATGGAAGACAAAACCTATATATATTTAATAAAGCACTTGCTAAAATTAAGGGAAGGAAAGCATTTCAAGGAGGCATGATAACTGTCTCCAAATGAAACAAGGAAATTGTTATTTTATGAAAAATTATGACTTAACAGCATACAGCTCCTACAGAAGAAATTGCAGTCAGATTTAATACCAAAATACTTTATATAAGGAAAATGTTACTTAAGGATTTTATATTATATAGTTCTACATAAAATTATTTTATATCAGGTAATTGTATACTTTTAAATACATATTGACTGAGCTCAAAATGCCAAAAACAAGTTTAAATTTTTTAAAATTCTTTTAAATATTTGAAGTTTGAAATTTCCATTGGCAAAATATTTTCTGTCAAAAAGAAGTTTAAGGGACATGCATTTTCAATAATCCTGATTGTTAAAAAGGTCAGATTGGGGGTTTTTTTTATTATTTTTTTGTGAAATAAAAGTACCCAATCAATAAGTCTCAGGCTTTTACTGCATCTATTGAGGTCAAAAATAATAAATCAAAATGTTTGAGCTTTTAGTATCACTTCACTGGACAGTGTTTATCCCTACTCCTACACCTTCTCTTTCTATGTGTCCCTCCACCAGAGTCAATTTCAGGTTAAAAAAGACTTTTCAGATTAAAATAGACTTTACTAAAAACATACATTTTCTTGCAAATCTCAACCTCCACATGATTCCACATTTAATAGGATATGATGTTCTGTCACACCAATTTTACACTAAAATAATTTTCATTATTTTGTCGAGTTACTATTTTTTATATTATTGAAGCTGAGAAGAGATTTAGCTGTAGTATCCCACAAATTGCATGAAATTTGTTTCCTAAACAAAAGTTTCACTTTATCCATGTGATTCAGTGTAAAGTTGATTTTGCAACATTTAATCAGAATGGAGGAGCTTCTTTATATAGATTTGTTTTTATGCAGACAGCTTCCGAAGCTCCAGAAGATATTCTCCACAGAAAGGTCTCTGCTCCTTTCTCCACATATAACTGTTTTAGTAATCATAATGAAACATCTATCTCCTGGTATGTCTTTGAGTATGATTCAAATGAAGAGACAAATTTGAGAACAATAATAATCTCTATAGAAGCTATATATCTATATATCTCTATAGAAGCTCTATATATATCTATATCAAACTTATATCTCTATAAGGTTGACATTCTTTTATATTTCAAGCATAAATTTACAGGTAGAATAGAAGTGAACTTTCAAAATGTTCACAAGATTTCTGATCTTGTTGAGAAGAAAAAGTATCTGCTTAAGAGAAAACACTTGGAAACCCAGATTTTCTCATTCTCCAAGGAGTGAAGCATTTGGGATGGGAAATAGCTACTTTCTGAGTGGATGATGGAGTAGCAGTTAAAGATCAGTGTGCATTAGATCGCAAAGGGAAATCTTCAGAACAATTGCAATCGTCCTCAACAGAATATGACTTGAGATCATAGTTTATTTCACCATCAAAGTTGCTATCCAAATCTTTTCTATTAGAAATACATTATTGGCTTCACCAAGTAGAAAGTTCTGTGTTTAAAAAATGCAATTTCTCTCTGTTAATAATAACTGATATTTTGACTAAAATCCTTATCCTTTACAGTAAAAAATTTTCAGAAAATTTTATGGCACCAATTCAGAAGAGGTAAAAACTAGACAAGTGTTTAAGGTATGCTGTCCATTTTCACTGCCTCTTACTCATTTTCAGGGACTTGAAGGTGCCTTTGCAAACATCCAGATGTTTGACTTACTGATATCAAATGTTTGCTTTCAGATATCAACATGGCAGGAGAACCAAAACCATACAGACCAAAACCTGGCAACAAGCGGCCACTTTCAGCACTTTACAGGTAAGTGAGATTTCACTTTAACTTACCCGAATACAATTTTTATCAGAAAAATTATGGTAACCTGAAATGTATCTACCAATGGCACTGTGCAACACTTACCAAAATTATAATGAAATCTGATTACTTATATTAATGCTCCCACTCCTAGTACTATTATTAATATTTTTTTCTTTCTTAATTAAGTGTTATTTAAACTTTTAGTCCTTATGATTCAGTGCTTGGCTATGGACTCATTTTTGTGACTTTTTTATTTGCAATGATCAATGAAATAACTAACAATTTCAGAGCAATAAAATTGGTTTCTCACAGATTTTTTTGTCAAGGATGAGAACCAAGTTGGGACTGGATTTCTTCCTTGGCTGTTCAGAAGGGTATTGATAGTGTCTTTGTCCTATTCCCAGGTGCCTTTTGTCATAGAGCTTTTACAAACTTGAGGAAACATCCACTTTTTTTTCAAAATCAATTATGCTTAGTGAAGCATTACTGATTGTTAGGGCTACCATGTATTTCTGCTCAATAAACCTTACATCTCATAAAAGTACTTCAGAATTTATACTCCAGATCCATGGAAGGAATTAGGGCTGATTTCTACTGTAGCTGAAATGTAGGTAGACTGGCTCTGAGAGCTATACCTCAAGAGTGAAATCAGACACATTGAAGAAGTATTTTTCCATACCTTGTTGGGTCTGAAAACTTCAGATGGAAATTTGAGGGTGACATCTCAGAATAAGACAAGCAGAAGCATTTTAGGTCTGAGCCTCCATGCTACATAGAAGAGATTTGAAGTTTTATCATATAGCTGACCTTAGCTGAAGTGATAGAAATATTATTTTTGGAGAAGAGAATCCCTGTTTCATCATTACTCTCAACTGCAAACCACTAAACTCTGTAGGTGTTCTTGGTAACCTTGGTCTACTCTGTCCCTGTTCCAGTATTTCAAAAGATTTGAAAAGGTGTTCTGTGATTTCTGGCATTTATATTCATTTCTACCTTTGAGCTTTTGAAGGCTTTCTCATAAATACTTGTTCTACAGAAAAGATAGGGATAAGAGAGACCCGTGGAAAGTTCTAAAGGAATTTTAAAGAGGAAAAATATCCTATATTGTGTCCTTTCATGGATGTAGTGCAAACTATTTCTCTAGAAGATCATGAGGCTTTTATGAGCAACTAAGAGAATCCTTCCATTTCTCCCTTCATGTTAATTTTGCCTCTGCTCTGACCTTGTAAGACCCCACCTGGATTACAGTGTCCTGCTCTGGAGTACTGAGCACAAGAAAGGACTTACAGGGGGCTTATAAAATAGAACACCTTTTTACATGGGTAGGTAGTGATAGGATAAAGGGGGAACAATTTTCCACTAAAAAAGGAGGGATTTAGATTCGTTTTTAGGAAGAAATTCTACACTCAGAGGACAGTGAGGCACTGAAACAGATTGCCCAGGGTAGTTGTGGATGTCCCATTGTAAATATTCAGGGCCAGGTTGGATGGGGTCCTGAGCAATTTTATCTGGTGGATGGCATCCCTGCCCATAGTGGGATGGTTGTAACTAGGTGACCTTTAAGGTTCCTTCCAACCCCCTTTACCATTCTATGGTATGGTCCCTTCCAACACAAACCATTCTCTGATTGTATGATAACAAGGAACTTTTATTATCTCAGTGTTGCTTAAACTAATATGTGACAAGATCAGTGATTAATCAAGTTTTGGCAACACTGGGAACATTTACTTATTTCAGAACACTGTAACTGGTTCTGACTGGGATGGAATTAATTTTCCTCATAGAATCCTATAAGTGTTTTGGATTTGTTTCTAAAACACACCAATGCTTTGCCTGTTGCTGAACAGTGCTTGCACAGCCTCATGATTTTCTCATTTTCCTATTCTGCCTTTGCAATTAAGAGGCTTGGTGCCGGCAAGAAGTTATGAAGAAATATATCTGAGACAGCTGACCCAACCTGGCCAGAGAGATATTCTCTCATATAGTCAGAAATAAAAATTGGGAAGGTTTTTCTTCCAAAGCAGCTGTTGCTTGGAGATTGCCTGGACAGTTTATGGGAGGTGAAAAGTAATTGCCTTTGCATCACTTGGATTTTTTCCCTTCTCCCTTCCCCTATTACACTGCAAATATCTCAATCCATGAGGCTTTTCAACTTTTGATCTCTTCTTCATCCTGACAGGGGACAATGGTAGGGGAGCGAGATGGTGACCATGTGGGTGCTTAGCTGCTGGCCAGGATCCACCCACAAGACCAAGACAGATAAGGGAAGTAGTTACAGTAGATTTGATTTTCACTAAGAGAGTCATTGGTTAAAAAATTTAGTTGTCACAAAATAGTCATCGTTAAAAGGAAGGTCTGTAAGTAGAAAGAGGATAACAGATTTCTGAAAGGACAGAATTAAATGAGTTCAGAGATCTGGTGAGTAGAACGATTCTTGGAAAGAAATTTGAGGGACAAAAGAAGTGCAGAAAATCTTGCACTGAGTGTGCTTAAGGTAGAACATAAAATTCTCCTGAAGCAGAAAAAATCAAAAGAATAATATGACAGCATCAACTTTCTCTAACATTCTAAAAATTGAAAAGGAATTGTACAAAATGTGGAATCAAAACACCATGACTGGAAGTAGAAAAGAAGAGAAGAGTCATCCTACAGGATATCAGAAAGGTTAAAGTACATAATAATATAAAAGATAACAAAAAATTGTCATTAGAGTAACATCCTCCGATTTTTAGTTAGGAGGAAAAGAGAGCAGATGATACAGAAAAGACTCCTTTTACTTAATCAAAAGTGATTAACTGACCAGCTATTAAAGAAAATCAATTTTTACCATAGGGTATGCAATAAAAAAAATTGGCTAATCAATGTTTGACTAAGTGAATTTGATGGAAATGGTCTGATAATGTTCACTGTAGTGTGTTCAAAGGATTGGCTGAATCTGTGGGTGTACTATTAGTGATTCCTTCCAAAAACTTATGGAGGTCTTGTAAGGTAAAGAAACAGTGGGTATGGGAAGGTGTTATACCTATTTTTAAGAAGAAAAGATCCAGAAAAATATTAGATGAGACTAGCTTTGATTCTAAAAAATGTACTAAAACACATTATTAGAAATCAATTTATCAAGACCAAGAAGTTAATAAATTGTTTAAAATATCAGGAGCATATTATGCTGAAGCAATATAATTTCCTTCTTTGGCAAGACAGCAAATTTAATGTAGAAAGAGATGTGCTATAAAGTCATTGTCATGGTTTAGCAGTGACACTCCCAATTTAGTACCCTCTGAGACTCTCCCATATGAGATTCCACTTGCTTGCTGACATCCCTTTCCTTCCCCCTTCCTGCTCCAGGGATAGAGTTGAGAACTGGAGGCACAAAGGGGTGAAAATTGCAGTTTTAGACAAGAACAATTTACTGGAAACAGCAATGAGATTAAAAAAAGGAAAAAAAAGGAACAGTGGCAGGAAAAATATTAACAACAAAAGGTATAAGACAAAAACTATTTACACAGAAAGCCCGTGATACCAACCAGCTTTTCCACACCACACCACACCACACCACACCACACCACACCACACCACACCACACCACACCAACCACACCACACCACACTTTCTCCCAACTGGAAAAGGAATGCCTTTCTTTCCAGAAACCAGAGAAAAAGTCCTTTTCCCCTGTCCCAGGCAGTGGTGTAAAATGGTATTCAACAATATTGGGGAGATGGCCAGGTCCAGTCAGCAGAGCTCACAGCAGCCCACAGCTCCTGGGCTCAAGCAGTCCGATCCGGCAGGCTCAGTCTCCCAGTTCCTGGGACCACAGACACACACCACCTCTCCTGGTTACTGTAAATAAATAACTCTGTCCTGGACAAAACAAGGATTAAACAAGCTTTGACACTTACTTTTCAGTTTTCATAAGCATGTTCAGGAAAGTTTTCTACAATAAATGTCTTAAGGTAAACATCCAATGGAAAAACAGTGACACTGTACAACACAGTATTAAGGATAATAACTGTTAACTTTTCGGTTTTCTTTGTTACAGATTTTTAAATTGTATTTTTCATATGTGAGACAACATAAATAACAATTTTAAGATAAGCAAGCAGGAGCACTGCACAGGCTTGCAGGATTTTGTTTACTTTGAAGTACTTGAGGCTTCAAAAAGGTTCAAAGAACTTTACATTTATGAAAAGAAGTTTGTATCGCATTTATAGGTGGATATACACATAAGTCCTTACAGAGAAACTGATGTCTATGATGTGTTATAACCTAATAATTTGCTTGTGTATCCAAGTCATTAGGTTCATTTTTTCCTGTAATGGTATAATACACTTTGATATCTCAGTTCAGGATCAACATTCCTTTATTTTAACTTTTCTACTTTTATTATCTGTGTGCAAATAATCTCATTTAATCTTACCTATGTGAAATTAGCATGAGCCTAAATGTGAGACACACAACTTTTTTAGGTGCAAGACAGATAACTAAATAATAAAAGGACTTCCATTTTATGTTTAAGCCTTAAAATATTTTGAGAACATTTAGTCTTTACTTCAGAATACTGTTAAAAACATTATTAATTTTAAGCATGCTCATTTAATATCTTAAAATGTACTTAGAGTAGTGCTCAGGAATTAGTTAAATTCTAACATAGCTGAAAACTCCATCATCATCCACCCTAATTTACATTGCATTGCGGGGGCACCTAAGTCCCATAAGATTCAAAATTGTTCTGAATTTTCTTTTTAGCACACCACTTCTGCAGAAAATCGCATGCTTAAAAAATCTGCATCTTAAAATTGCTTTGCATCTTGTTGTACTGGTCTAGCCTCCAGCAAAAATTAATTGTACTAGCAGCACATCGTAGTATCTTTGAAGTTGAAGATTGAAGGTGCTGACTGCTGACACAAATGTGTTAAAGCACTCTTTGGGAGCAATGCTTTGGTAAAATAAAACATCACACTTTGTCTTTTTCTTTTAATGGTGTTTTGATCAGTATTTCACTAAAG